AAAGAAAGAAAGAAAGAAAGTTATTATAAAGAAACGAGGGGGCTGGCAAGATAGGTCAGAAGACTAAAGTGCCTGCTTAGGCAAGCTTAGGCAAGCGCAGGGACTGGGGTTTGATTCCCAGCGCAACGTACCGCTGGCCACAGAGTCGGGGCACAGTGGCACAGGCCTGTAATCCCAGTGCTGGGGAGGCTGAAAACAGGCGGATCACTACGAGCCAAAGCTGCATAGTGAGACCCTGTAACAACCAAATATATTTAAAGATACTAGGGGGCCGGGGAGAGGGAGAAGAAAGAAGATAAAAGAGAAAGAGCAAAGGAGACATATAGTAAGACTATTATTCAAAGGAGAGCAACACACAGTTGAGAAAGAGCCAGGGATATAGCTCAGTGGCACAGCACCTGCCTGGCAAGCATGAGGTTGTGAGTTCAATTCCAAGTACAAAAACAGAAGAAAAAATAAAATCTCTCTTAAAAGAGAGATTTGAAAAAGGAAAAGAAAACCACAGTTGAGAGGCAAAGAGAAGATGGGGAATTGCCTTCCAAAATACTCAAGGAGGAGCCAGGGAGCCAAAAAAACAAACAAACAAAAAAAAAAACTCAAGGAAATGAGAAGATAGAAATGAAAGCAAAACAAAGAAGTCAAAGAAGAGATAATCATTGAGGTTGAATAGTAGATTTTTGTTTTTTGTTTTTTGTTTTTTTTGCGGAACCAGGGATTGAACTCAGGCCCTTACACTTGCCAGGGAAGTGCTTATTCTACTGAGCCATCTCCCTGGCCCCTGAATAGTAGATTTTAAAAGTTAGACTGGGCTTAGTGGGGCATGCTTGTCATCCCAGGAAGCCTAAACTACAAAGCAAGACCCTGTTTGAAATACAAAAAGTAGGAGCAGCGATAGGTCAGTGTTCTGAAAGCAGGAGCTCAGGCAAACAGCCCGCCCCCAGGGTGGGCTGAGTCAGCCACAAAAAATAAAATACAAAAAATAAATAATAAAATAAATAAATGAGGAGGAGTTGATCATTGTGGTTAAATGGTAAGGCTTTCAGCTGGGCATGGTGAGTCATACCTGTAATCCCAGTATTCAGGACTCTGAGGCAGGAGGATTATTGTGAGTTCAAAGACAGCAAGAGCTACAGAATGAGCTCAAGGCCAGCCTGAATTACATAGGGAGGACCTGACTCAGAAAGGCAAAATATTCACATCATGAACATCAAGAAACCTAAGCTAGATGTGACAAGGGCCACCAATAAGCAGATGAGAGAGGAGGAAGAAGAGGAGGCTGCTAAGAGGAAGAAAATGGGCCAGAGGGCAAGAGAAAAGGGGGCCGACAGGGTGCTGGGGGCAAAAGGACAGGTGGCCCGCCCAGCTGGGGAGGGAAGAGAAAAGGAGGTCTGGGAGGCAGGACACAATCCAGGCCGCCTGGTGTAGGTAGCAAGAGCAAAGGAGGGCAGCGCCAGGGAGGAAAGAGGAGGAAGTAATAACTTTCACTGAAAGCCACGTTCCTGTAACGTAAAGGAAGAACGTACTGTACATACACAGTGTTAATTCTGGAGGGGGGAATGAGGGGACTGTTGCCTTCACGCACTTGCCGGTTGCAGGGACACAAGTGCTCTCCACAAAGGACTGTACAAACTAACCAAGAACTTGGGTGGGGATAAGGGTATGTTTGAGGGCCTGAGAGCTGGGGAGATAATTTGAAACCATGAAAGAATTCTTTTTTTTTTTTAATGAAAGAATTCTATTCTTTGAGTTATCTTGCATTTTAATTTTGGATATGGACTTAGTTGATCATGTTTCAAGAAGTTAATAGGTGATTTACACATTACTGTGTTATTTTTAAAACAAATTTGTATGGTAAGCAGAGAGAGAAAGTTATTTTCTAACTGGATTTACAAGTAACTATTACAAAGCTTATTTAAATAAAAAATAAATAAAATTTTTAAAAGATTGAAAAAGTGATAACTATCTTATTTAACTATACACAGGGGGAGCCGAAAGTCCCTGCAGAGATGGAGGTGCTCCCCTAGCTGCTGGGGTTGCAGCTGGAGGACGACCCCATTGGCAGCAGCCTTCATAGGTGACTGCCTTGGCTGAAGAAATTACACCTCCTTCTGGGGCACACTCACATCCAATTATTAATCAACACAGACAGACAAGGGCTGGCAAGACAGCTCAGTGGACTAAGCGCCTGCTTAGGCAAGCGCAGGGATCAGGGTTTGATCCCTGGCATCACATGCCATGCTGCCCTGGCCCCAGCCCCAAGCACACTGAGCCAGCCATGGAGACCAGGCGTGGGGGCGCGTGCCTGTAATCCCAGTGCTAGGTGAGGCTGAACACAGGAGCATCACTGCGAGTGTGAGCTGCATAGTAAGACCTGTGCCAGGTACATTAACACAGACAGACAGACAGACAGACAGACAGACAGACAGACAGACAGACAAAGGTCCAGCCTGCCATTCTGCCAAGACTAGTGGTGGTGAATCTATGGCACATCTTCTACAGCCCTATGATTGTTATCTCTGAAACTTCTAAGAGGTTTGTCGTCACTGGCCTAGACTTGTGCAAACTCTGGAGGGTCATCCTAGCTCCAGGTCACACTCAACTGTGGGCCAACTCAGGCCTTGTTATGCCTGCCTTGCCATTCTCCTTCTATTTAATCCTGCTCTTTTTCTCCTCCTTTCCATATTGGTGTCACTCAACAATAAATGCCCTTGGGGCCGAGGAGATGGCTCAGTGGAATAAGTGCTTCCCTGGCAAGCGCAAGGGCCTGAGTTCAATCCCTGGTTCTGCCAAAAATAAATTAATTAATTAATAAAAAATAAAAAAATAAATGCCCTGAATGTTACTTCCACCTCTGTGAAGAGCTCAACATGTGACAATGGCTCTCTCCAAATAATAACCCTCTGGGGCCAGGGAGATGGTTCAGTGGAATAAGCACTTTCCTAGCAAGCGCAAAGGCCTGAGTTCAATTCCCAGTTCTGCAAAAAAAAAAAAAAAAAGATAAAACTAAGCCATTCAACTAACCCATTTTCTTCAGACTTCAGGCTGATTTGGAACCACCAAAAAATGTTCTCACTTTGCTTCTGAGAAATTTTGTCCCAGAAAACTGAGTCACTACTTGCTCCTCAGGGTTAGTGGGATATATGTCTGTATACATATATTCATATTTTGTTGTTGTTGTTGTTGTTTGTTTTGTTTTTTGGTGGAACCTGAGATTGAACTCAGGCCCTTGCCCTTGCCAAGGAAGCCCTTATTCCACTGAGCCATCTTCCCCGCCCCTACATTTATGTTTATCTGAAGTGAATTACAGCTCGGCATGATGGCACACACTTAGCATATCAGCATTCAAAAGGCTGAGCTAGAAGGATTGGTGTGAGTTTGAGGCTCACAGCCTGGGCTACATAGTGAGTTCAAGGCCAGCATGAACTATATAATGAAACCCTGCAGCAAAAATATTTTTTAAGGGGCCGGCCAAATAGCTCAGTGAATTAAAGCACCTGCAGGCATGCGCAGGGGCCAGGGCCTTGATCGCCAGGCCTGTGCCGGCCCCACCCCTGGGGCATGCTGAGAGGGCAATTGAGACTGGGTGTGGTGGCACAAGCCCGCAATCCCAGCTCTTGGGAGGTTATAAACAGGGGATCACTGTGAATCCGATCTAGTAATGAGATCTTGGGCACCCTATAGACCCTTCTCTAAAATATAAAATAAATAAATAAATAAATAAATAAATAAATAAATGACCAAAATGAATTACAAAGGAAACATTCAAAATTTGGTGAAGGTACACAGAGAGGCAAACTGTCTGCAAAGATGCTACTAACAGTTTCTTTCATCCCTGTGCATATATGGCCCTCCTCTCATGAAGAGGTGGGGACCATTTCACCTCTCCCTAAATTTACTTTCACAAATAGGATAGAATAGAAATAGCACTGTGCCAGATCTGGGCCCAGCCCGTAAGAGACTTTCTGATCGTGGCAGCTGACGCTACTATAAAGAGATCCGACCATCCCACTCAAGCGGGAGGCCATTATGGCTTTCATGTAGCGACAGGGTCCCCAGCGCATGAGAGACCAGAGTCTAGAATAACTCCAGAGTCTAGAATCTCCCAGCTGTTAGGTATGGGGGTGCACACCTGTAATCCCATCACTCAGGATGCTGAGGCAGGAGGATCACAGCAAGTTCAAGGCCAATCTGCACTACATAGCAAGACTTTGAAAAAAAAAAAATTGCAACACTGTTTCTCCAGTAGCGCAGATGATAGTTACCTTTGAAGAAATCTATAACTTTGGTAACAAGGCTACTTTTGAAAAATTACTTGAAATGTCTGGTTAAACTTGGAGAACTTAATATATACATACTTCTATTTCTTTCCAAACCTTACTAAAGTGACTTCAAAGGAATAAAATCCTAATGCAGGGGCCGGGGAGATGGCTCAGTAGAATAAGCGCTTCCCTGGCAAGCGCAAGGACCTGAGTTCAATCCCCGGTTCCACCAAAAAAAAAAAAAAAAATCCTAATGCAAAGGAACAAAGACACCAAGCAAGAAGGCAACTGACAACACAACTCCAAAAAGGGCCTAGGGTACAGCTCAATGGCACAGCGCCTGCCTGGCAAGTGCAAGGTCTGAGTTCAATTCCCAGTACAGAAAAGAAAAAAAACAGGTGTGGTGGTACATAAGTGTAATTTCACACTGAGGAGGTTGAGGCAGGAGGATCTGTATAAATTCAAGGCCAGCCTGCACTACACAGTGAGATCCTGTCTCAAACAAATAAATAAAAATAGAGAAAACTCAATAAAATCTTGGCAACTGTACGACAGTGGATTATGCAATCCAAAAGGCTTTCTCCTCAGCTAATGGCTGCCCCCTCAGGATGCCTCAGCCATCAGTACTGGGCCTCTCAGCACTTGTTTCTCCACTTTAATTAACTGTTCCCCTTGATAGACTGTTCCCCTAATGCCATCCTCTCAGTCCCAGAGTGACACTGCGGTCTGCCCAGTCCAGGATGGTGATTCTAAGGTACAGTTAGGAAATCTGGTTATGGCATGTCCTCCAATCTGGCCAACCCCCCTGCTTACTTTTTACATTATTTCTCACCCTGTTGGGACCCTCAAATGAAGACAGCATGTCATTATTAGGGTCCCTTCCAAAACCCTAGCAGATTAGAGGTGTAATTAGCAGAGAAGGGAAAATTAAAATTTAACTGTAGATAGGAGATTTTAAAAATAGCTGACATGGAGGCACACGCCTGTAATCCCAGCACTAGGGAAGCTGAGGCAGGAGGATTGTTGTGAGTTTGAGTCCAGCCTGGGCTACAAAGTGAGCTCAAGGCAGATAATCTGTTCTATACTGTAGAACCCACAAAGACTCTGACGCACTAAGAGCCATTGAGGATGAGGGTGAAGGAAGATATAAAACAAAGACTGAAGGCCTTATAAAGGTAAAGAAGTTCCCTTCGAAACACTGGCTTAGGGCTGGGGAGATAGCTCAGCAGCATAAGTGCCTGTCTGGCAAGCACAAGGTCCCAAGTTCGATCCCCAATACCACGAAAAAAAGAAAAGAAAAGAAAGAAAGACAACCAAATGCTGGCCTACCTAGGTCTAAAGGGTTACTCTAAATTCAGGCATGACTAAGACACAATGAAAACTGGCAGGAAAAATGAAAAGTTGTATTTCAAACAGTGCAAGTCAGGCTAGCCAGCGCACACCTGTAATCACAGTACTCAGGAAGTAGAGGCAGAAGGATAGCTACAAATTCAAGACCATCCTGAACTGCATAGCAAGACCCTGTCTCAACAAGAGAAAAAACAAAAAAAAAACCACTGGCCAAATAACTCAGTGGATTAAAGTACCTGGAGTTTGATCCCCCAGGGCATGCTGAGAGGGCAATTGAGACTGGGCGTGGTGGAGCGCACCTGTAATCTCAGCCCTTGGAAGGCTGTACACAGGCAGCCGATCACTAGAGTCCGACTTAGTAGTGAGATGTAGACCCTTTCGTTAAAAATACAAAAAAAAAAAAAAAAAAAAAAAAAAGACAAAAAAGGGGCCTGTGAGATAGCTCAACAGACTAAAGCGCCTGCTTAGGCAAAGTGCAAGGACAGCAGTTGATCACAGCACCACATACCACACTAGCCCCATCGCCAGGGCAGGCTGAGCCAGCCAGAGTCTGGGCCCAGTGGCGCATGCCTCTAATCCCAGTGCTGGGGAGGCTGAAAACAGGATCACCAAGAGTCTAAACTGCGTAGTGAGACCCTGCAACAACCAAATACATAAAAATAAAAAAATTTTAAAAAGATGAAAAGTTTGGTCGGATTACCTGACAGGTTAAAATAAAATTAGTTATCTTTTTCTCTTTCTTTCTCTTCTTTTCTTTCTTTCTTTTTTTCTTCCTTTCTTCCTTTCTTTCAGTGGCACTGTGGATTAAGCCTCAGGAGTGCTGAGCTACATCAACAGCCCTTTTTATGTTTTTTATTTTGGGACAGAGTCTTACCAAATTGTTCAGGCTTGTCTCAAACCTATAATCCTCCTGCTTCACCCTCCCAAGTAGCTGGAATTACAGACCTGAGCCACCACAACCAGCTACAGGTTATATGTTCAACAGTGAATTTAGAGATGATTAAGCAACTAGAAAATCAGTTCACAGCTGGAGAGATACCTAGGCAGTCTAAGTGCCTGCCTGGCTAACACAAGGACGCACATTTCATCCCCCCCCCAGGAATGCATGCCATGCCGGCCCTATGCACAAGGGATTGAAGTCAGGCCCTAGCACTTCCCAGGCAAGCACTTATTTTACCGAACTATCTCCCCAGCCCTGAACATTTAAAAATGAAAAAAAATCATTTTGGAGATTTGGAGATAAATATCTTATTTTATTTATTTATTTATTTATTTATTTATTTATTTA